AAAAGGTGGAAATAGAATCCATTTTGGATTCTTCTCTGAAAGAAAACTCTTCAAAGTCTTTGGAAGAAGGTGCTTTGGATGATTCCTGCGAAGATGATTCCCATGAAGAGAATGTTGATGTTGCCTGTCTTGAGCCTATTAACTCTTCAGGAGAAACTTTTGCAAAGAACACCACGGAGGAAGCTACTGGAAATCCAGATTCCAGTTTCTGTGACGCTAGTGAGAGTTCCCTGCCAAATAAATGTGATTTGGATATTCAGTTTGATCGTGAGACTAAAAACGAATCATGCGTGGCTTCAGAAGTTGCTTCCGGTGCAATGGATTGTGAAAAGAGCCTTCCTCAAGCATCTAGTGATGGTTCCAGGACTGATTCAGGGAAGGCTGAATCTGGTTCTGTTTGATATAATTAAGAAATGTTTGCTGAGTTCTGTATGCCAAACCACAAATCTCTCTCAGTATTGGAAAGCATCATTTGTTCACAATTTTGCGGGGCATTGGAGCTGATGGCGATGCCCTGATTTGGATTGCATGAATAAGAAGAATTTGTTACAACTCCAAGGAAATTGATGGTCCTTTGCCTTGTTTTTAGTATGGTTTTAAGGTTCTAGTTCAACTTTAAGTGGACTTCAAGATTATTTCTTATCCTTGGAAGTTGCAAGATGTGCCATTGTTGCATCTAGGATGGTGTTATGTACAATTAAGTCAATGGTGAAGTTGCTGATGCTAAACGACGTTTTGAACGTCCCAGGTATGGCAGTAACAGACTGATGCTGCTTCAATGTGTGTATATCTGGATCTGCTTGATGTGAACTTTGGGATTTTTCCGATGTCAGCTCATCACATGACAGGTGGTATAAGAAAATTCTTTAGCAGGTGTTTTCATGTTAAATTTTAACATTTGTACCAAGTGCCGGTGCAGCATTAACAACAGACCTCAGCCGCAATTTTGATTGCCCAACTGTTTGGAAGCAACAAATTTCTATATTGTCAACTTCTGTAGCTCAGATCAGCTTCTCGTTCAAAATTTCAAGTATGGGGTTTAATCATTGACTTTTTATCTTAGCGGTATAGGTGCATGATAAGTGAAGGTCTCTTGAGTGAAGAGGAAAAAGGTGCTCTGGTATTGAATGGAGTTGTTCCCATGCATTTGATGATGATTTGCCATAAAATGTCTGAAGTACTCATTAGATGTGTAGATTTATTGGACTAAAAATCCCATTGCTCATAGGATCATATGAGGGCTCATTCCTGTGTATATTTATGTTCCTTTGAACTTTAAAGCTCATCAGTTTTGTTATATTCAGGCTTCTCTTGTGTTCTTCTCTAAACCAAGGCATGTTACATTGTACCTCAAACTACTGCTTTGTTAGAAATATTGTGAAATGTTACCTCCAAAACAAGTTTTTTTTCTTCGTTTTTTTCTTAGTGGATTGTCATCATTTTTAATTGGATTTGTTGATTCTTATGGTCATCATGGGATCCACTTCTAAGAGACGTGCGTGCCTGCTTGTGGTAACACAATGTGGCCCTTATTCTTCGGCTCATATAAAATGCTGAAAAGCAGTTGAATGAATGATTATTGCTCTCTTCAGATTTCACATTTTGGAGATACAGAGGGAGGCAATGGACATGTACACAGGCGTAGCCCCGTACCTCTATGGTGTGATTCACCGACTCAAGCGTCGGTGGGGATATCGGAGGGTGGAGGTTGAAGAAGAAGAAGAGCATGGTTTGATTAATCGGAGGAGGGTGGAGGTTGAAGAAGAAGAGCATGGTTTGATTAATCGACGGTTCAGAGTTGTGGGAATTGCAGTCATCATTTCGAGGAGGTTGAAGAACATTATGTCTGGTCATATGGTTTGAAGTGTGTAACTTTGTATATGCCATTGATCCCTGGCCCTTTCGTTCATCATATATGGACTGTATTATTCAACATTTCCAAGCTTAATTCTATCAAATTTGCTCATTAAGCCTTCAAATTTTTGTAGTTATTGATGCTACTTTATTATTTATTCTCACCAATTTTTGTTTCTTTCCCAACTTCTGAGATTGGAGGGAGAAAATAAGGACTTGAATCTAAAAATTCCAAAAAGAAAATATGGATTGATTATGCTATAGGATTATAAGATTTTATTGGCCTAATACTAATTATTACTAATATTTTTTATAAAGCTAATAATTTTGTAAACAAATACAAAAATTAGTTTCTTTTTACAAGGGCGATATCCGAAACTAGTCTAATGTACGGGAAGGAGAGTTAAACTCGATTGTCGGGCGGTGGTAACTTTGGCTAATTGGCCTAACCCACGCCTACAAAAGAAAAGATATAGTTGAGCAAAAGCTATTTTAAAAGAGTGAATTAACTCCGCCAGGTACAAAGTCCGTATTCTAAAGAGTGACCTCCTCCGTTTTCACAAATGGAGCTATCAGCAGCAGCGCCACCCGGTATTCTTAACTGTTCATCTCCGCCACTAAAACCGAGGGTTAGCTTCGCGGTTTCTCGTACAGGTCTCATACCCACCCCTCCTTCTCTACGCGCATTACCTTCTTCACTGAACCCAAGCCGCCACTTGAAGCTCAAACACATGGACTCTCAGAGAAGCCTCTCACCGCGTGCCTCTCTGGCCGAAAACAATGGCTCTACTCTGACCGATTCCCCGACCCCAAGTAACTCAGGTAACCCTAACCCTAATATCAATCCTTGTACTGGGTTTTGAAATTTAAATTGAATTCTAATTGCTGGGGCTGTAATTCTCTTAGGGGTTCGAGTTGGGGAGGTCAAGAGGGTGACCAAGGAGACCAATGTCTCGGTCAAAATAAACCTCGACGGCTCTGGAGTTGCTGATTCTAGTACTGGGATTCCCTTCCTTGATCATATGTTGGATGTCAGTATTATTTTGCTCTTAGCTCTTTTTGAAATTATGCAGTTGAAATTTATTCTTTGGTGAAAGGCATTGATATTATACTTGTAACTTCAATTTACAGTGATAGGTCTGTTTTGGATTTGTTTTGAAATAGATTAAATTGATTTTCTGCTTAGAGAAGCTGTTTTAGTGATGTATGGTTCTGTTTCATGTGCTTTTGTATCTAATATGATCCATTACTTATTTGTTGTATTTTCTTGTTTATTTTAGCAACTTGCTTCTCATGGGTTGTTGGACGTGCATGTAAGGGCTATTGGTGACATCCACATTGATGATCATCACACAAATGAAGATGTTGCTCTTGCTATCGGAACGGTACTCTAGAAAGCAGCCCATCTTGATATTTCCTTTGGGTCGCCAGCATCTTTCTTCTGTTTTGAATCCATATGATCTGTAGAAGTCCATCTTGATAATCTAATTCTGCTTGGCCTGCAGGCTTTGCTTCAAGCACTTGGTGATAGAAAAGGAATCAACAGGTTTGGTGACTTCTCTGCTCCTCTTGATGAAGCACTGATACATGTCTCACTGGTATGTTTAATACAACCATTTCACTAAAATAAATGTATAATAATATTTGACAGTAAGGAAAATTTTATGTTGAATTCTTAGGCTTTATCTTTTGATGTATATGAATGTATGAGAGTAAACTTGGTGCTATCATCAAGAGGGACAAAGTGTGAGGGCCAAGCTTGATGGGGTCTTGAGACTAGAATGCTAATTTTTTCGGAGGGACAGTTGTTCAGCTGCTGTAGAATCAATTATTGTGTCAATTGGTTTATATGTCCTTTTTTTAATTACTGTATTTATCTGACCGTAGACGAAAATAAGAAGTGTGCTTAATTAGAGGTTTTTGTTCAGGATTTATCTGGCCGACCATATTTGGGTTATGATCTGCAGATACCCACCGAGAGGGTTGGGACATATGACACTCAGGTAGTGTAATTTTCTTCGTCTATTTTTAAATCTAGGCTTCAAATTCCTGCAGCATATGTTTTTTTTATCTGTAGAGCACAAAAACTTGACCAGTCTTGTATAGTGGGATCCTTTCTTTCTAGTTGCTTTTGGAAATTATTAGGTGTTTAGAGTTACTAATTTTTGTTTGAACTGTCCTTTTCATAGCTGGTGGAACATTTTTTCCAGTCTTTGGTGAATACTTCTGGTATGACACTCCACATCCGGCAGGTAGTGTGCATAGATTTTTAAAAATCTTAATTCATCCAAATATTTGTTTGTTCAGACAGAGACTAAAAGTGAACTTTGATGAATAAATTGCCATCTCTCTTTGTACATGAATCAATTATCTGTACTTTGAACATTCCTTTGTGCAATATGAAATGGACTTGTTATTCGACCATTTCAGGTGCATAATCTTCTACATATGTCAGTAACTACACCAATTACTTTTTTCTTTTGATTCATCAACTAACTGGGCTATAATGGTTTTCACATTGCTCCAGTTTTAAGTTTGTGACAGAATTTTCCACTTTTGGTTGGGCACAGCTTGCTGGAAGAAATTCTCACCATATTATTGAGGCAACCTTCAAGGCATTTGCTAGGGCTCTCCGACAAGCCACAGAACATGACCCGCGTCGCCTTGGGACTGTGCCAAGGTTTGATATGAACCAATTTCATTTGAACAGCTTTGACTGGATAATTAATTTTTTCTTGATCTTTGGTGAATATGAAACTCGATCTTAACTTTGTGGAATCTATTATGTGCAGTTCAAAAGGTGTCCTGTCGCGTTCTTGATGCTTCATAGACCCTCATTTTTTCTTGAAGCATACGTCAAGGAGATTCAGTTTGGTGATTTCTCTTTATGTTCTAAGATAAAAGCAAGTTAAAGCTCCACCATGTCAAAGACAAGGCAAGTTATCAGATCTCTAGTGATAGATGTCAAGTCGAAAACCTAGACGTGAGTTGTCGCATGGCTGGTATTTATACGGCTATGTGAACAAAGGTGTTGTATATGTATCATTACAGTGTCAATAAGTTATTCCTGATTGGTGTAATAATAGTGGGCACTTAGGTTCTTGTTGAGTATTTAGTGGTTTTGATGTGGCAAACAAATGGTTCTCTTTCTCGTCCGAAAGAAATGCATTTATTGTCTCAGCTCCGTTTTTGCTAAGATTTGTTCCTCAAATAAAATTACAACATATGGCTGCTCATAAGAAATTCGTCAAATGAGGTACATATTAAGAGCAATAGAGCTTTACACAACAAATTTGTTCATAGTGTTGAGAAATGAAGGAGGCATCAAACTGAAGCTCTCTAAGTTCTCTCCACAAATCAACTGATTACACTCAGTGTAAGAGATATGCGTGCTGCCCCAAAAAATCTTATGCCTCACAGAAACTCTTCAGCTGTATTCAAATCATTCAATATCTCAGACTTAACTTCTTCAGGCAGTGGGGCAGATGGCCCTGCCTTGGAGTAAAAGCCGGCCAACGATCTTATCGCTTTCTCAATCTCAACATAAGACTCCTGCAAGTTATTAACCAAAGAAACTAGATTTCTTAGCAAACAGTGAACTAATTCAACAGTTACATGTCCTTGAACATACAAGTTAATTAGCTATACCTCTTGAGCCACCTCTTGTTGTCCTCTCCAATTGCCCAAATACTCTCGAATTGACTCCTTTGCTGCATCTGCAGTACGCCTGAATTTGGCATTATCCTTGGGGTCTTCATTCAGCGATTCGCGCAATGTCTTCACGACCTCCTTTGCTGACTTCAAGTAAGCCTTCGGCAACACTTTTCCAGACTTTGTTTTCTCATTAGGTTCAAACAGTGATCTAAGAGCACCTATAACTCCATCCTTTTCCTCTTCATCATCCGACTTATCATCAGCCCAAACCGGTGATGGTGCTAAGCCATAATTAATGGTCAGAATCGTAACAATCGAGGCACCAGCTACAAAATGGCGGCGACTTGATGAAGCCTCTTGAGAGGGTAGCTCACACCTGGATTGTACTTTATCTGTTATGTTGCAAAATAACGGGCAAAAGAGAAAAATTGTGTAATGAGTGGCATCTCCATCAGGTGAGAACCATTATGCAGTCATATATCAACACTAAACATTTGCTTAGATGTTAATAGTATAGATGGTTAGATGGTTAGATTTTCGGGTAACCAATCTGTGAGAAGAATATATGTAGACTGAATAAAGATGATATAGTGTTCAACATAACACAACTTTCACTATGAAAACTTCCAATCTAGGATAAATCACAATGCACATTCTGTTTCTGCCATAACCTCTAGAAATAGAAATAGAAATTCAGGTTTGTTCCTCAAAAGAAAAAGAGAAAGAGATAAAATTCAGGCTAACTACAGTTGATACAGAAAAAGCACATATATGAAACTTTCAGGCCCTGAAAAGAAAACCCATTAGGATTTTTCAATACTTACACTCTTTGGCAGGTTTCAAGGTATTCTCCCTTGTCCTGGAAATTACAGGGGGAAAGGTCTTTGCTGCAAGAAGAACATGAACAGCCATTCTTCTTCAATTATCTCAAGCAACTTGACTAGCTATATCCATTGCATTCCAGAAATCAAAACAGCTGCAATCTCTTGAATTCTGCTACCCTACTGCCCCATTTGCTCAGAGTTTCAGCTTCATCACACAGAAAAAGCATTACACTCAAGAAAGCAACTAAATTTCCAAATAACATAAGTCAATTAAATATCTTTGCTGTTCAGAATTGAAGAGGTGTAGGCAAAAGAAGAAAGTACTTGGTACTTGAAAACAATTCCAATGGCTGGATGGTCGCTTGGAGAAAATCTTTTTGTACAGTCTCTGCCTCGGCTTCTAGCTTCTAAATTGTTTCTGGTCATTTTCGAGTTATGGGCTTTATCCACAGGGACACATATTGAGATTTTGATTAAAATGAAGGATACAACGGTCATTATCAAAAGAAGAAACGACTTTTCACATTCAATTTGCAAATAAGAACTTGCATGACACGGTGATACCATTGTTTTGTTACTCCTTATCAACAACGTTTTTGCGTGATAAAAATCACAAAACATTACTATCTGTGTGACATGCAAGTTTTTCTCTTATTTACTAAAATTTTCCATTTGGGCTTTAATATTTTGTTTTTCTACATGAGAATTACAATTCTAAAATTTATACTGTTTGGGGAACGACATCTTATGAGGATAGTCGAATAAATGATGGACGGCTACGAATTCATCAATAAGGAGTGCACGTAAGGATGTGCCGCAGCCCATAACACCCATCTAGGGTTTTGGGCTTTACGAACTTCCCCCAAATATAATCCTAACATTACTATCTGTGTAACATGCAAGTTTTTCTCTTATTTACTAAAATTTTCCATTTGGGCTTTAATATTTTGTTTTTCTACATGAGAATTAAAATTCTAAAATTTATACTGTTTGGGGAACGACATCTTATGAGGATAGTCGAATAAATGATGGACGGCTACGAATTCATCAATAAGGAGTGCACGTAAGGATGTGCCGCAGCCCATAACACCCATCTAGGGTTTTGGGCTTTACGAACTTCCCCCAAATATAATCCTTTAAAACCATCTTTTTCTTTCACTGGCCTTCTCTCACCCGGCGCGCTCGCACACACACACGCAGAATCAGAGAGAGAGAGCAAACCCTAACGCCGCAACCATGGTGAGCTAACTCCTTCCAAACGACTGGTTTCGATCAGTATCTTCATCTTCAACCTTTAATCTTAAATCTTACTTTGATTTTCTTCTGCAGTCTCTCGTCGCAAATGAGGAGTTCCAGCATATTCTGCGTGTGCTGAACACCAACGTCGATGGAAAGCAGAAGATCATGTTCGCTCTCACCTCCATCAAGGGTATTGGGAGACGTTTCGCCAACATCGTCTGCAAGAAGGCCGACGTAGACATGAACAAAAGGTTCGTTTTTTTCTTCATTATTTTTTGTTATTTCCCTAATTAAAGTCATAGATCTATTTAGCCCAATGTGATTTATCATTTCCCGCTCCTTTTCGTTATTAGATGTAGCCATTTAGTTAGATTTTATTCATTTATGTAAATAACAATTATTAAATCTTGTTTAGTTTGACAACTTTTTTGCATAGTTTTGATGCTGGAATGCCTTGTGTATTTCCATTTCTTTTGAATATATTGGAATGTTATTTTCAATTGTAATATTTGAGCCGATTGTATTGGCACATCAATATTTGAATTATAAACCTCTTACTCCAGTGGTAAGTGATTTGGGCTAGATAATAGGGACCCTATTTTATTTTTCATCTTCATATTACTATATGATACTGGGTTATAAATTGACAAGCGAGTTCGGTATTGCGTGCACACAAGATCACTATTTAGTGTACATGGGTCTAATTGAGCCACACTGCAGGGCTGGTGAGCTATCTGCCGCTGAGCTTGACAACCTGATGACCATCGTGGCCAACCCACGCCAGTTCAAGATCCCTGACTGGTTTCTGAACAGAAAGAAGGACTACAAGGATGGTAAATATTCTCAGGTCGTCTCCAATGCCCTGGACATGAAGCTCAGGGATGACCTTGAGCGCTTGAAGAAGATCAGGTCTGTTTTCTAGTTGTTTTGCTTGTGTTTCAGTATTGGTTTTTTTTTTTCTTTTGATGAGTTTCTGATATATTGTTGGTGGTGTTGTCATCTGTTCTCTTCTTGTTATGCTTCTGTCCACCGACTCTTTTTGCGTACTGTTGGCTTACTTTCTTATTCTAATATGTTTATGTGCTGAATCTTAATCTGAGCTTGTATAGCACTTCTCTCTCAGAGTTTAATATACTATGTAATTGGTTAGCAATATTGTCAGTGACTGGCAATTGTTCTAGATAAGATTGTCCTAGATCATTCACAGCTAACAGCTCCAAGTTAAATCCTAGTATCTGGGAAGTAGCCAAGTAAACTTATTTTCCTTTTTCGCTCTTGCATACTCTGTCAGAGCAAGAAACATGTTGGAAATACAAGTATTATAATTATCTGGGGTCAGTAATTTTTTCTATTCATCTGATATAGTAGTAGGTGAAGGATAGGTTAGACATGATGATGTTTGTTGTTTTAGTTAAATTTGGGCAGTTTATCTAAGTGGTTTTACTTGACAGTTTTTGATGTCTACTTGCCGACATATTATCTACTCAGATGAACATCTATATTGTTTAAGACTATTGTGCTTGGAGTTGTGACTGATATTTCTTTCTCAATGACCAGGAATCACCGTGGTCTTCGACACTACTGGGGTCTTCGTGTGCGTGGACAGCATACCAAGACCACTGGCCGTAGGGGGAAGACTGTTGGTGTCTCCAAGAAGCGTTGAAGAATTTTTATTGTCTTTCTTGGATGTTGTTTGGATATCATGTTTGCGCATTTTGTTTTACATTTTCAAATACCCTCTAGTTTAGCAACCTCAATCTACTTCAGTTTTGATGGATTCATGCAGTATGTCTAGCTGTCTTTTATTTGTTCCTTTTGGACTGCTTGGTCTTTTGTGTTTTGAGGATAGTATGTTATGCAATGGAATTTGATCCCCTATATTAGTTAAAATTCTCAATGATCCTTTTTATGATTTTGAGATTGTTGATAGGGCAATGCCTTTCTGATTAGTATTGCTTAAATGGGCCGTTACCTTTCTCTGATTGGTGCAGTCGAGTGGTTTGTAAATCATATAAAAACCAATGCACGTATTTGGTTTAGCTGGCATTGAAATAGATTAGTGCAGAATGGTTTGTTAATCATAGCAAAACCAATGCGTGTATTTGGATTAGCTGGCATCGAAATGCTATTGCGTCTCTTTGTGCCAGTTTAGTGTCGTAAAAACTGGTTGTCTAATATGTTTCGAATATACTCACGGTAACCTGGACCCAGTTGTTGTATAGTAGTATAGTTATGTAATACAACTCAATCACATGTTACTTCAAGCTTGCCTCAAATATTGAAAGAGGTGTGAAACCACGACATGATGAAATTCCATGCAAAACTTGAGTTTTGATTAGTGAATATGGTGTTGGCAACAATCAAGCGTTTGACACTTTTACATTTTGAGGGCGTCCATATTTCGTGAATCAATAAAAAGAATGTAAACTTGTGTACTGTTTTATATAGACCGTCATGTGTAACAGTTATCACGCACGGTATGTTGTGATTAGCCAAATAATATATAACACTATTTTGTTATCTGTAACGGCATGTTGTGATTAGCCAAATAACAGATAACACTATTTTGCTATCTGGTCAATAACAACAGAACATGCATGATAACTTTATATGGCAGTTTGTGATTGATTAGGAATAGCAAAACAGTGCTGTTTCACACAAACTTTCTTGAATCTCTGAACAAGAAAAAAAAACAGAACGGGGAGTCCAGTTAAGTCCAGCTTTGAGTTGAGTCCCTCCCTAAAACATAACCAAGTACCCCTAAGTTTTTCCCACTTTCCCAAACTCCCAGCAGCATCTCCCTCATACCTCTTTCTCCCACTTTCAGACTGAGCACTCTCTGTAGCTCTCCATTTTTATTAAATATAGTTTTGTTCCAAAATCCCTAGCCCCAGGATGGCCGGAGGTTCTCATCCCAAGGGCCCACCCCACAAGCCATCTTCTTCCTCCTCCGCCTCTAACCGCAAATCTCGCTGGGAATCTTCCCCCAACGCCGCTGCCGCCGCCGCCGCCATCACCACCAAAAACAATCCACCCGACCCCAAACCAGCGAAGCCCAACTCCGGCCCATCCCCCAAACCCGGCGCAACCTCAACTCCGTCCCATCCCAAGCACCCCCCATCAGCCCCCTCTCCCGGACCCGCTCCGTTTCCCTTCCCCGACCCGGCCGCTTTCGGCCCACCCCCTCCCCCAGTCTACGGCTTCCACATGCTCGAGCGCCGAACTTTCGTTCTCGCCGACGGCAGCGTTCGATCCTACTTCGCTCTCCCGCCCGATTATCAAGAATTCCCTCCGCCCATGGACCCGTCCGGCCGGTTCTTGCCGTTTGGGCCTGGTGGACCGCCCGGGCCTGGCCCGGATTACTGGAACTCACTCGGGCGTGGCCCCGCAGAGGGGCCCGCAAAGAGAAAGTACGCCGAAGAAGAGGACCAGAGGGATAAAGCAGGGGAATTTGGGATGCGCCGGCCGCAGTTTATGCAGCATGCCCATCCAAATGGGTTTCCGGTGGGTCCTGGTACCCGGGGAGAGTTTTTGGCGGGAACGAGTAGCCCGTTTCGGCGGGAGGCGGCCGACCAAGGCCGCGGTGGCGAGGAGGCGAGGGCTAACAAGTACATGAGGATTGGTGGTGGGGGTTATGAGAGTGCGGGGTTTAGGCAAGGTGGTGGTGAGAATGTGGTTCATAAGCATGTTCAAGTTGATCAGAGTGCGTTGAAGAAGGCGTTTCTTAATTACGTGAAGCTGATTCATGAGAATACGCAACAGAGGAAGATTTACTTGGAGGATGGGAAGAATGGGCGTCTGCATTGTCTTGCTTGTGCCAGGTCTGGTGCAAATTATTTGCTTTCTCTACGTTGCTGCTTTTAAAATATGTTTGTTGTTGATAGAATAATGTTTCATTGATTTCGGCATCTTCGGTTTATAGTGCATACTTAGGCTACGGGCTGTTCTAGCTGTTTAAGTGTAGGATAAGTGGACGTGGATGAATTTTGAGAACTGTGCCATTTACATTCTTCCCCTTTGCCATTGGATGAAATCGGTGGCATTTCTCTGGAAATGTTATATAGGTTACGCTCGTTTTATAAGTTAGGAACAGCTGTTTGTTTTTCGTTGCTTACCAATGCATTGCTAGAATCATCTATTGCATGGGCTGATGATGAAGTTGTAATGTATACATTTTGAAGGAGTATGGAGGGAAGAAAGGTAAGGGTGGAAGCTTTGATGTTGTAAGTGATAAGGATGCATAATAAAATTACAGCATAGATTTTAATATTGTCTAAGTCTGACTCACAATGTGGTCAAATATGGTATACATAGATAACTATAGTGAGAGTTTTTCGTGGAGATATAAGTTATATGTATGTATTGAGGTTTTTTTAATTATTTTTTTCAAATACAAGTAGGATTTATTGATTATGCTGTCCTTGTTGTTGTTGACACTACTTTTTGCATTAGCTATTTGGTGAAATTTCAGGACAACTGTGTTGGTCAATTCCAATAGACCTTGGTACACATTTCTCCGCTTGTGTGTGTAATTTATCTGTGATCCTCTAGGATATGGTGGCCTTCCATCCAATGTGCTAGACATGTGTGAACAAGGACATGTGCTTTGTGTTACGTGGTGGATATGATTTTTTTATTTATTTCTTGGTCTGGGTGGATGTGAATCTAACTTGCTTTATTTGTCAATAATCAAAGGGCCATCTCTAAACGTATTTATGAAAGTTTTACTTTGTCCAGGAAGTCTTAGTTATCTCCCCTCTTTTCTCTTATCGACTAAATGGGATCAGGAAGTTCTTTTTCCTTACTGGTTAAGCTTTCCAGCAAATGTATTAGGGTTTAGGAACGACTGAAAAAGGCATTTCACTTTTGGTGGAGAATGAAGACTGGTTATCTCCGTGGAGAGAAAATCTCCCGCTTACCTTTCTCTAATAATAAGGCTTCCACTGTTTTTTTTATTGAGAGTTCATTGTAGGTTTCTGAAAGCTTGCTTACTGCTTCAGTGGAAGCAGCAGCTTTGTTATTTGGTAGCTGCTGTTATAGTGTATCTTCAGGGAGGTTTTCATTTCATATATCTTGGTTTGTTTTTCTGTATGCAGCTGATAGTTCTACTATCATCTCTTAGATTGGAACTTTACCTAGCTAACTTATTTTGATTCAGATGGTCGCAGTTGTTTTGATAAGTTAGGCTATCTCCAAGTATGTGATGTTTGTTTTCTTTAAATATTATGCTTTCCTTAGATTTCCCTTTAGAAATCTAGACCATGAAGGTGTTTGGAGTATCATCTGTCCTTTACTTATTGGGTAAGAAAGGCTGTATTATTTTCTACTTACGTCATTACTTTCAGTCTATGTCAATTTTCCTACATTCTTATATAGTAAAGGTGGTTGCTGATTATTCCTGTAGCTTTGTACATATATGGGGCCATAATTTAGTTAGATGGTAGCTCAAAATACCTGGTTAGTTTAGACTAAAGTTGATGGAGACGAGCTTTTCTTTTAGTGTTATTGAATATAGCTTTGTACATATATGGGGCCATAATTTTTATGTTTTAGGACTCTTAGTTAGATGGTAGCTCAAAATACCTGGTTAGTTTAGACTAAAGTTGATGGAGACGAGCTTTTCTTTTAGTGTTATTGAATGTGGTCTGGCCAGGCTAAGATTCAGATTGGGTTTGCTGACTTATCAGAAATATATTTGACTTGAGTAAGCCTCAGGTCATCACAGCTTATATCCCTGATTATTCAGTGCAATTGAATGGAAGTTGGATATGAGCATTTAATTTGATCCTTGCTTCATTTCCGTAAGTGTAGGTTGTGTCTCTACGCTTCTTTTAGATTGTTAGCAGTGCTGTCTAACTTGTTGCAAAATGGGCACTGGCTCTTAGTTTCTAAACTTTTGAGGTCTAGAGGCTAAATTAATTCGATTGGATCTTTGTTTTTGTTTTTTGTTTTGGTAGTTTGAAACCATTGGAATCCAATTTGTTTGATGGGGAATATGTATATGCATAAGAAAGGAACCTCATGACCTGTGCTTGTTGTTTAGTAGGATTTCGGTGATTTAGAAGAGCTTATATTTCAACCTGTATTCATGGCACATCGGTGTACAAACTTGTATTCGCCATTCCAGGATGAATCCAATGCAAATATTTAATATTATCTTTCTTTCTCTGCTCTAGGACTTCTAAACTATCAGTAGATTTTTGTTTCCAAATGGCTGTCTTTACTTGTTCTTCATTGATCTTTTATTGTGATGGATAGGAGCTGAGCGCATGTAAAGACTCATTTTTACTGCTATTTTAATACTTGTTTGGGCAATGTGGTTTCGTAGATGTTATACGGTTCCATATTCTGGTTAGTGGATTGGTATTGGTTATACAGTGTACGCAATAACTTCCATTTTCTGTTTTCCTGAATCCTATCCCGTCATTGCTAGATATATAGAGTATGGAAATGTGCGAGACATAGATTTAGTAGAAAATATGTTTTGAGCTTATTTTATTGGTAAGGACTCCATATGTGGATTCTTTGCATTTTTCTCCTTCAAAAAACATCAGATACCTTTGTATATTTTATTGCTGACTGGTTCTGATTGGTTGATGCCCTTGTTGTCTTCTGAGTTATGTCTGGAACATGAGTCATGAACCATTCTGTTCGTAATGGTTGGCCTTGAATTTGTGAACTTTCACTCATAGGCAGCAGACAATTGAAGCTGATTAGCATGTTGACTTTAATTGTAAAAACATATGAGGCTGACTCTCACAATGGAAGTAATTTCCTACAGAGTCTTTCTAGGATTTTTATACGAATTTTCCTTTTTTATAGATGGGTGACGTCTTTGTGGCTACATTTTTCTTTCCATGCTTTTTGTTCCCCTCCAATAAGTTGGGATTCTGTTGG